GACTTCCAGATCCCAAGGTAGCAACACCACAGACAGGTTATCAGACACTAGCTCTCATTGGAATAATACTTTTGTGAGACTATCTCCCGTTGGGATACTGAATCTCGACCGACCAGTATCTTCGGTAGAAGCCCTTCACGCACTACGGTCAATGTCTATAGGTAAGGATCTTCACGCACTACGGTCAATGTCTATAGGTAAAGCGCCAGGAAATGATGGCTTGCCAGTTGAACTGTTCCTTGTTATTTGGGATGAAATTGGGGACCCTCTGGTGGAAATTTATAACGAAGTTCTGGTAGATGGCCGGCTGTCATTGCAAATGTGTCAAGGTATTATTTCCTTGCTCTTCAAGAAAGGAGATAGGACTCGGATAAGGAACTGGCGTCCCATCTCTATCTTGAACGTGTCTTATAAGCTCCTTGCAAAAGTGTTGGTAAGACGTTTGGGTAAATACCTTTCAGATTTGGTTGTATCTGATCAAGCCGCGTTCGTTCAGGGACGTTCTATTTTTCATAACATCGTTACAACTATTGAGTCCCTGGAAATCATCCAATCTGAACAGCTCAATCTTTCGGTCCTCTTGCTTGATCTGGAAAAAGCGTATGACTGAGTTAATTGGTCGTACGTTTTGACCACATTAAAATGGATGGACTTTGGTGAAAACTTCTGTGCGTGGGTTAAAAGCCTGTATACACTTGCTACAGCTTCGGTGATTGTGAATGGAGAGGTGTTGCAACAGTTTCCATTGTCGCGTTCTTTGAGACAGGGCTGCGCATTGGCCCCCCTTCTGCCTCCAGTTGGAAGGCTTGCTTAACAACATCAGAGCGAATCCGGACATCAGGGGTATGCCAGTCAACGACTCATATAATATAAGGTAAAGGCACTTGCGGATGACTTGTTCGCAGTAATTGAGAACTCGACTTTATCTATGACTGTCCTCAAGTCTTGTCTAGACGAATATAAGAGGCTTCAGTGAACTGGCATAAGTCCCTATATTTTCTGCATGGGAAATTTCAGCCGGTGGTTGAATGGGGCATGAAAAGACTCCAAGGTTCAGATTCAGAACGTTTTTTAGGGGTTCAGGTTGCACTTGAAGATTGCTCAGAATGCCAGGAAGAAATTCTCCTTCAGAAAGTTCTGCATAGGGTGGGTACATGGGGTAAAGCCCCCCATCTTTCCCTTTTTGGGAGGGCTATGGTGGTAAACGGCGCTCTGTTTGCCCTCTTGTGGCTCGTGGGAACTGTACGTCGTCTTGGTGACCATTTGAACTCATGCGTTAGGAAAAGAGCCGCGAAGTTCATCTGGAAACCGTTTGCTGAAGAAGCTGAGGGTTTTCTGTCGAAGGTGGCATGGGAAATGCTCTGCCTCCCTCGTGAGGAGGGCGGTTTGGGCATGAAAGACCCTTGTAAATTGAATGAGTCTTACCTGGCTAGATGGATAGTTAGAGCGGTCACAGCTCCTGTTGAGCAGCATTGGATGATTCTCGCTGAACAGATCTTATCCACTGAATGGAATCTCAGTCGTTCCTCTGATGTTTGGATCTGCCTTATGTTGCACTCTTATCAACACAGACTGGTGAAATCTCCCTTCTGGGGTGCAGTAATAAAGGCTTGGAGGAAACTCAGACCAGACTCGTGGGTAGAACCTGTTACAAAATCTGAGGTTCTTTTGCAACCTTTATTTGAGAACCCACTGATTAAACAGTTGGATGGCAATTGGTTTCGTGCAGACTCAGTTGCGGCAAGCTTTGGGCGCTCTTAGATTGAGAGGGGCGTTGTGAAAGTAGGGGATATTTGGGACGAGGGGACCGGATCTTGGAAATCTGCGCGTGCTCTTCGTTGTACGTTAGGAGCAGTCTGGTTTCTGCAGGATTGCCGGGATGCTCTCATCTGTGCAATCCCCGACAAATGGAAGGATCTGTTGTTCGCTGTTGCCACGGATCCCCCAGGCACTTGGTACGTTAATTGTTCATTGGACACAACTAGACTGTGGAAACTGATATTAATTGAGGGTGATGGTATGCGTGTCTTTCAGTCATGGGAATGTGCATCGGATTTGTCACTCATATGTAGTGAGTCGGATACCGAACCGGAGTTGGGCTCTGCCCTGAGACAGGTAAGAGTGTTGGAACAATGCGATTTCAATGACTCTGTGAGTTGTACGGTTTTTGCTGGAGCTAAACCACTCACATGCTTGAAAATCGACCCATCTAGATGGGAATGGAGAGCAAGAGGACGAGGAGGTCAAAATATCTCGTTGATAGACTACTCATTACAATTGGGTTATATACTCAACCCTCCACAGAAACTCCCGTTGTCAATCGCTAGTACTAGATGGGCTCGATTGATTGATTTGGATCTCAACTGTATTGCAGACAACCTGGTGAACTGTTGGAAGCAACTTAAAGCGCTTACTAATCAAAGACATGCGTCGTTATTATGGTTGGTTTCGATGGTGGCAACACCCTCGGCGGTCGGGTTGGTGGAACATGGGGTGCGTGTAGACTTAGCCTGCAAACGGTGTCAATGGGCGTTTGAATCAACAGTCCATTTATGGTGGGACTGTCCGGCAGCCAGCCGTATATGGCATTGGGTCATCAAACAATGGGATAGGATTTCAGGCTCCCCCTTTCAGTGGTCTAAAAATTGGACCTTGTTAGGAGGTATCCCTGATCACTTGAACACAACGAAGGGTTGGGGTTACGTTGCGCAGGTATTGAGGGCAGTGGGATTTTATGTGGTGTGGGCAAGCAGGAACAGCCGGGTGTTTGAGGACCAAGATTGGTCCAACGAAAAGATCCGTTCAACTTTTGCCTCACAGTTGAGGCTCGTAATACAGGCTGATTGGCGGAGGAACGTTTTGAGGGCCCCACAACGGATAACAGGGCTGTTATGGTTTAGACAGACATGGTGTCTTCAGGGCACATTGGCCTCTATTGAGGATGACAAGCTGGTTCTTGATTCTTGGTTGTTTGCTGTTTAGTTTGTGCTGGGACTTACCTGGTCACTCGGTATAGCAGCCGCGGTAGGCTGGCAGAAGGATAGAAGGTGGAGGGAGTGTACACAGTAGATGTTTTGGAGTTTTCTCCCCACCGCTTTAGGTGGTTTTATCGAATGGTAGTGTATAATCATTGGTAGAATAGGGTAGTATTGCGATAATGTTTTAGAAAATAGGATAGGCTAGAGATTTGGTTCAGTTTGTTCTTTTGTTATTTTCGGATTGTTTGGCTTTAATGGCCGAGAAGGCTTTTTCTTTTTCCAGGGTTGGGATGTGTCAGGGCAGCGGTCCAATGTTGGCCATTTTGCTACTAGATCACTGTGTCCCAAGGCCTGCACCTAAGCTGGGTAATGGTCCCAGTATTGTTTTCGGGTTGTTTGTCGAGGTGTTCCCGACCTCTTTTCTGTTTTGTGTTAATGGATGAACAGAGTCTCTATTATTAAAAAAAAAAAGAAATTGGTGGTGATGAAATCTTTCTGCAAGGCTGGGGCCGTGTACTGGTGGTTTAAACCATCAGTTCATGCGAACCTAAGTAGTGCTCTTACCAGTATATGCGGTAAGATCATTTTGATTTACGCTGAGGCTGTTAGGGAAAATGGTAGGTAGGCCACTTTGAAAAGGTGCAGTGCAGGCTACTTTGAAAAGGCACACAGTTCACAAGAACCTAAGGTAGTGCTTTTACCAGTGTATGTGGTAATAGCGTTTTGATTCACGCCCAGGCCGGTAGCGAAAGTGGTAGGTAGGCCACTTTGAAAAGGCGCAGTGCAGGTGACTTTGGAAAGGCACAGTTGCAGGCTCGGGAGGCTTGGAAGGTAGCTTCCTTGGTAGATCCCTACGAAAATCATTGCTCTTAGACGGAGGCGCGGCGCGACCGGGAGCGCCGCGCCTCCCGCCCTGCCATCGGCCCGGTCCGTCGCGCGCACGTGGTGCTTCGTCGTTTTCATGTCTGCTGGTGCGGTTTTTGTCGCACACGTGCGGTGCTTCGTCGTCTTCATGTCTGCTGGTGTGGTTTCGGGTGATCTTACGTAAGCATAAGGGTGATGGTGGTTGGCGCTGCTATAGCTTAGCGCGCGGAGTGTATCTTGAATGGCCATCAACGTGTAAGCCTTCGTTTGGGTGCTCTTCCAGCTTTGCCAATTAGGAAAGTTGTCTTCGGCTCTGCGCTTTGTCCAAGTGGTGTCGCAGTCGGCACGCTGGCGATGGGGAGACTGTCGCTGGAAGAAGGGCGATCTCCATGAGACTTCGACCATAGTTGAGGCCTTGTTTCTCTGTTCTTGCGAAGTGTTGAGGCGGTTGGTTGGGAGTCGCGGGCGGAAGGGAGGAACGCGTTCTCACGTGGAGTGGGAGGAGGAAGATCGTTCAAGCGCGGGCATCCGGAAGGGACTTCGACAATGTTTTGCTCCGACGAGTTGCATCTTGTATTTTCGTATGGATGTATAACTACTGTTCTTGTCCGATAACTCTGGTTAGGGTAACCAGTCGCTGTTAAATTCTATGACAATTTGATAATTACGACCGGGGTTATACTCGCAGCTATTTTCCAAGGTAAGTTCAATCTCTACGATCGGGGTTATATTCGCAGCCTTTTTCAAAGGTAAGTTCAATCTCTTCAATTACACTCTTACTCTGAATCGTTAGCATATCTGTACGAATGATCACGATAATTACGTAGTTTTTTTGTTCCGTGACTATACTCTTCAAATAATCCTGAGTGTTTTTGAATTTTACTATCATAGCTTAAATTCTGATAGTTTTTTCCGATACTTACTTTATGAAATCGGTGGGAGTTGTCATCTGTTCATTGGGCGCAAGTGGAAGGGGAATAATTGTAACAAGCGTTATTGCTTCCCTGCGCCCTCTTTAATGGGTCATTTTCAAGAGAAAATTTCGATCAACGGGTCATTTTCAAGAGAAAATTCCGAGCTTATTCCGGTGGGCTGGATCAATTATTTTAGAAGGGTAGAATTGGGAGAGTGGGGTGGATCGGGAGTGCTATCCTGCAGGGGATTCACAAGGAGGGGGGTGAATTCTCGAAAAGGGTAGAAGCGGAATTGGGGGTTTGTCCTGTTTCTGGGGCTGGGGTGGTGGGGAGGGGTCAACATCGTCGTCAGTGGAGGCAGAAACGGGCAAGGGGTGGCGAGGGCATGTTTTAGGAGGGAACTGCGTGTCCTCGGGGACAGGTGCAGGGGGTTGGTCCTATATTGGGGCCGAGGGAGAGCGGGACGCTTGCCTCGGCGGGGGCAGTGTAGGGCTGAGGGGGTAGGGGGAAGGAGGGGTGATTTTCTTTTGAAGATTTCTAATCTTCCAGTCCAGTAATTTTTTTTCTCGTCAGTCATTCCATTTGGTTCGCCTCTCGAGGACGTTGTAGGAATAGGTGAAATCTGGCAAGTCATCTTTGATCCTGTAGGGTGGTTGGAAATTCGGTGGCCCTCGATAACCGATGCTGGAGCGACGCTGGCCGGAGCCGGACCCAGGTGGCGCAACTCTGTGACCTAGCTTAGTGGGGGCGTGAGGCCTGGTAGAGAGATCTGGGGGCCTGTTTGCGGGGGCAGTCTTAGTGGTCATCGGGGTCGTAACTGAAGCAATGCTGGCCGGTGTTGGAGCAAGGTGGTGCAACTCTGTAACCTAGCCTGATGGGAGCATGAGGCCTGGAAGAGCTTCGGTTCGTGCTGAAAACAGCCATGCTGGTGGTGGTTG